TTAGTGCAGTTCTGTACGGATTTGCAAAAATTTCAAATAATAAATCAAATAAAAATCTTTACAAGACTTCAAACCCGAACAAATTCTAAAAATTTTGCAGATTTATTATAAAAATGCTGCAAAGATCTGCAAAAATACAGATCTTTGCAGATTTACAATTGTTTAATTTTTCTGATATATATTAATAAACAAATTTATTATAAAATAATGGTTTGAAATGTTAATAAAAGTTAAAATTTTGAGAAATATGTTTTTTACCAAGATATTAATTGTCGAATTAAGTCAAAATCTAGTGCATCCGAAAAAGTTGTAGAATCATCAGAAGGTCCACCAGATGTTATTCCAATCAAATATCCAATATTACTTGGTGGACTATTCTTAATTAACCAAGGGCCTCCACTTGAACCATGTCCAAGATCTAGAGGTACAGTCACTATATCCGAATTTTCATCAGCCTGTGCATTGCCTCTCCAACTGCAAAAGGTAAAAGAGTTTTTAGCACAATTCATGTCACCATCTCCTGGATCTCCAAATGTAACAATTTCTACTGGATATTTTGGAATTATACCCCAGCCCAGACATCCTGAATGATCTTGCAATCTACCTTGACCATGAAAATCAAATTTTAAGGTTCCATAATCACTATTAAAATTGGCTATATAATCATTTGGAACTTTAGTCTTTACGACACCAACGCATCCGTACCGGCTTTCTTTACCATTGTCATATCCTGGGCAAAACTTTAAATGATCAGAAAAGCAACTTGTACGCATATCATAAAGGCAATGCAATGCGTTGCTGTTATTCCTGTATTTCCATAATCAGTAGAAATTACGCTAGCAGTACATTGCCAATCTGAAGAATTTTGCGTAAAATATAATATTCCAACTGCAAAAGGTTTATCGTTTTCATCTTCTGAAGTAATAGTATTAACCATATTTTTTTCATCACTATTTATAGTTTTGTTAAATTTTAAAGGCGTAAGTAAAGGTTTTGCATTAAGCATCCTTTCTTGTGTCCAATAACTAAGTGTATTTTCAATATTATTGTAAGTTTTACTAATGATATCTTGTGTAAATTCATTTTCTATGATTATCAATATAATCAATAAATACGAAATATATTTCTTGTTCATTTTTAAGAATTAAAAAAAAAAAAGAATATGCACTAAGTAGAGAATGAATAATACTATCGAGTAAAAGATTATTTATAATAATATTTATCAATTAATTTTTTGTATTTTTTTTACTGAAAGCAACATTTGTTCTATTTATTTTTATATTTTCTATGAATATATTTAATTACAATTATAGTATTTAAAGAGTCTCAGTTAATAAAAACTACACATCTTAATGAGTTGAAATGCAATTTTGTTGATACGTGATTTGATCAATGCCTAATATATATGTACAATATCTTCCGAAAGTTTAGTGATTATTTATCGGTTTAATTGATCTAAAGATTTAATATGAGCTGTTTAGCTACTTATCCACATTAGTCTGATTGTTATATCTGCAAAAGTGTTTCTAATTATGTAGGTAAGTATAATCAGTTCTGCACGGTAAAGGGTGTGAAATACTTTTAATATCTATTTGGCGTTATATATTATTAGGGTTAGCATTAGAAAATTATAGTGGATTGGTACATTATGTTTTTTAAAGAAGTATATTACATTCTATACTATATATATCTAAAAATCTTAAATTGTAGTGTCTCATATCAATATAGTTATGCCAGTGTTGCAAAATATGGATATGGACAATATGGACCAATGGGTATGGACTATGTCCATATTGTCCATATTTTTTCATTGAACATAGGGCACTTAGTTAGCGATATAGGCTAGTGTTGTCGGTAGAATTAATTTGGCAAATTAATACGGTTACGGCATGTGCCGTATTATTTACCGTAATTACTTTGTGCCGTAATGCCGTAATGCCGCAATTTCGTAATGCCGCAATGCCGTAATCTGCAATGTTGCAATGCCGTAATACCGATATATTGAAATACCAAATGCTGTTGTATTTAAATATTATAATGCTATTGCAGTAATGTGTTAAAAACTGTAATGCTGCAATAACATAAATAACATAG